ACCTGTCCTCGGGCCACCAGTGGGACACGTGCTGTGGGCACCCCACAGTGCAGTTACAGGGCAGTCCTGACCTCTACAGACTCTGCCAATTACACAACCCAAACCCCAACCCATTCTGACAGCCTGTGTGCTTGTCTGCCCCTCCCAGGGTGCTCACTCCTTCTCTACTGGATAAACACTCAGGATATTGTGAGGGTCACCACCTCTCATATGAGACTGTACACCCAAAGCATATGTGGGTCACCTAGCACTCCAGACTGTCTCCTGCTGCCAACCTGTAACCTGAGTGTCTCTGAATGCCTTCTAATAGATTCCCAAAGATCCCTCGGATGGGAAACCTGGACGATAGGCACCGACAACTCCCTATTGCCGGGGCCTTTCCACCCTCAGTAGCTGTTGCCCTGTTGGGTACTCAGGGGATCTGGACAATGAGAAAAGACCTGAACACCCTTTTTAATGTCCACAACCAATTTTGTTTGCCCAGCCAACGTGTTTTCTTCTGTGGACCCTCCACCAGCTTATGGCTTCCCACTGGTACCTGCAGTGGGAAGGCTAATCTGTCTCACACTCAAGACAGACATTGCCTTGGAAAATCAGTCTGCCTTTTCCCATTAGAGCCTGAGTCTGACCTGCAACTCGGCTCCTGGCTGTCATTCCTGACATTGCTGCCGTCACAGGGATGGGCACAGCAAGTTAACAACTGCCCTATTGCACTACCAGTCTCTATCCCATGACCTCTCCCAGCATCTTGAAAAAATAGCTAAGTCCATTGTTGTCCTGCAGACCCAGATAGCCTGGGAGCAGTTACTCTCCAAAATTGCAGAGTTCTGGTCTTCTCACAGCTAAAGAGAGCCGCTTAGGCCTTCCAAGAAGAGAGTGTTGCTTTTGCACCAACCAGTCAGGCATGGAGTGAGAAACAGCTTTTGGACAGACAGAAAAAGCTTCAGAATTAGACAGTGCTGTCCCATTGTTGGGCTCCTTTGGGGCTGAGCCTCACAGCTCCCCTCCTCCTCCTCCTGTGTGGGCCATAATTTGGGCCTTCTTACAGGACCAGTTCTTATAGGACCACATTCAGGTGACCACCAACCCACAGATGCAGACCCTAACCACTCCTCAATATATCCCTCTTCCCCCAAGATTTTCTTTCAGATCGGTTTCCTACACTGCCCTGCTTGTCATAGTAGCCATGAGAAACATGCCTACTTTCCAGTTCCTTCCTGTTTGTAATAACAAACAGAAAAGTCATGCCTGATGCAGATGAGACTGTCAGCAAACACTGCAGTTCTCAGGACACCGCAGGAATCCACTAATGGGCCATGCTGTCCTCGGTACAGGAAGCAAAAGGCCAGAAACATGAGACTAAGACAGGATGTACAGTTTCCCAGCAATGAAGAAGCTGACATCATCCGCACACCTGTGCTGATTGTTCTGACTGCCCTGTGAAGTTGACCACTGAAGGATCACCCCCGGATTTCTTGGGATAACAGCTTCCTCCCTAAACCCTGCAAAACTCCGATTCTCCTCTCAGGGCTGACATCTTCTGCAGTCTCAGCTCATCCCCAGCGGAATGAAACAAACCAGCCTCATTGTTACTGCAAAAGCCTGTTTAGTGATCTCTCAGGAGCTGTTTATCATAACTATGTGGCTTGCCTGCCAAAAAACTCACCTTGTGAACCCTTTCAAGAAACCTATAAAAATATGTTTTCTTATATTTTAACCATGAAAACAAATACATTTTATCACCATAGGATTAGCACATGTTTGCACCAAGCTCCCCCAGCCGTAGCACAGCTTCCAGCTGCTCTTCGGCTTGGTCTCCCCCCTCACGCTGTGACCTCTCTGCCCAGCTACTGCTCTCCGAGCCACACTCCTGCGCTGCACCTGTCTGAGACCCTCACTGCCACTCTGCAGTCTGGGTCGCCCCATCCGACTCCAGGCTGTCCCGGTCTTCGGATCGCCCTGAGTGCCATGCTCAGTATGCAGATCGCTGAGGTCCAGCGCAGCCCATTGGGTCCTGTGATCTCGCGGGGTGCCGGCGGGGCGGAAGAAAGCCGCGGCACCAAGGCGCCATCTCCAGCTTCCAGCTTCTGCGGAGGTGAGCGCCCCCTGTCGGGCTGTGAATGCAATCAGCGCTCAGTGAAGCCTTGCATTTGGGAGATTGGTGGATTCTTGGGGTCACTGTTAGAAAGACACCAACTCCCGTTGGCTCGTACGCAGCAGGTGCACATAACTCCCAAGCCTCGGGGAGAAGGCAGAGAAAGAGATCTTTAAAGATCCACAGTGATGTTCAGGTAGTCACAGCCTTGCCTCAATAAATATGAAGAACTTTAAATAAAGCTTTGTTCCCTTTTAAGCCTTCTTAAATGTACAACGTTCTGCAAGATCTATAGCTGAAATCGCTGGCTCTCTTGTGAGCAAAAACAGCATTGCCTAAGTGTTTTAAACGGACTCAGGCACTTGTAGAGCAGGAGGAACGGAAAGACTTTCTAGGCTAAAGTAGATGACAGCACCTTCTCCAAATGTAGCCATATACTTTCCAGGAAAATAACCCACTCCACAAAGGACTTTTCTAATGAAGATCTAAAACATATATCCACTCCTTTGGATTTTGCATTTGATAGTTTTGCATCGGTAGCTACAGATAGACTGAGCAAGCTATGTTCTTGTTTGTTTTGCATGCATTCAACGAGCTATATCAGAATAGATTAATACTCCTTTCCGGCATCCCAATCAGCTAAAAACTTGCCAGGCAGCCCACTAAGCAGGATTGGCTTCAAGATCAGCCCTTAAAGTTGGCTGTAAACAAACAGGCCTCCAAGTGTTCCAAGCACTGAACAGAAAGTCCGGGCTGGTAGCATCTGCCCAGGAACCTGGATTCTTAAGACAGATCTCCAGGCGACCAGGCCCCGAGAGGCACATAGCTGTGGGGGCACAGTGGCTGACTGAGGATGACAGGGAGGGCGGCAAGCAGTCCGCAGTGTCTCCGACACAGCCACGAGCTCCCTGCAGTCGTGCCCAAGGCGGCCCAATTGACTCCACGGTGGACTGAGCAGGGTGCCCCGGAGGGACACGGTTGACTGCACAAGGTTTGGGTCAGGGTGGACCAGCGCGCGGCGCTGGAGCCGTAGCCCATGGCATTCATCACAGCGCGGGCTTTAAGAGAACCGGCAGGAGCTGCTGGGGAACTGGCTGTGGAATCGATGCCTTTGGGATTTGCACAGGGGACACGGAAGATCCGGAATAGGATCAGCGTGCGTGATTTCAGTGATGCAGGGTTCAGGACCAGGCCAAAGGGAAATCCAGCACCAGAGGGGCTTTAGAAGGCAATTTTATTACACTAGCAGGCTGAAGGGAGAGAGTTCCAAATCATCAGCCCTGACTGGCGTTTCCAATCATTTATATTTGTTTCCAAAAGGAAGTATAAAAGGCAGATAACGTAACATCCTAGGTTGGTCACAGGTGTCTTTGTCATTAACTGCTAGCCAGAAGTACAGAAACAGCAGCTAAATGAGGTTTCTGCCCTACAGCACAGAGGAAGAATCCATCTTTGTCTGAGACCGGCAGAGACGCCCTGGCAAACGTTCACTCTCTAGGCCTCTGAAGCAGGAGAAACCCTCCTTCCCCGCTAAGTTGCACTTATCTTGCAGTTGGCAGCCAGAGCATCGAGGCTTGGTAAGTTTGTGGCTGTCTAACTACGGGAACAAGCTGTGCGTCCTGGTCTCACCCTTTAACAGTGTTAGAAACATGCTCTATATTACAGATAGAAGTTTTAAAGTTTTTTCTGCATTAAAACAGCCTCTACAGCGGGAGCGTCCCGCGCGCATCCCCATCTTGAGAGGGCTTGCGCCCCGAACGCGCAGCAGCAGATTGGTGCTTTCTCCTGGTGATAGCGGTGTAAGTCAGCGTCGGTGTGGGCACAGGCAAAAGGGACACGTAGGGGATGCATCTCCCCACTCACTGTCCCTGCTGCGTGGATTCCTCTGAGCTTTAGTTGCCTCCTGCTGTTGGCACCCTGGGGACTGGACCTACACAGGACTGTATTTCCCTTAAGATTTATAGGCCTCTGTGCACTTTCACTTTCATCCTAGTGGTATTTTATAGAACGTTTAGTTTTATTCATGAGAAATTTTATTAGTATAAAATTATCAATTTATGGACCTTTTAATGATTTTTATTTTAAAAATGCTTTTCCAATTTAATAAATAGTTCTCTTGATGACTGAAGTTGCTCAGCAGTCACAGTAATTGTGGTTTTCCTGATTGATCCGTAGCCTTCACTAAGCATTGAGAAGTCAGACCAGTAGGATTGCACTGACCCCTGCATCATTCCCAGGATAGTTGGTTAACCCTTGTTTACCTCAAATGACCTCCCCTTGTCCCAAGCCCAACTCACTCACACTCACTTCTATCCCTGTGCCTTGAAAACAACACCCTCAGTGTACAGTGGCCAGGAAGGGTTCTTTCTCATGCCAAGTACTGACAAAAAAGATGGCTTTCAGTTCAGGATGTGCTGACCTTTAAATGTAAGCCCATCGGCCTAATAAACCTCCCTACTTAGATTATAGTAAAGCCACCTCCAACAAAAAAAACATTAGTAACCTTTCTCTTCTATGCCTTTTTTCTCTTTTGAGTTCCAGTAACTTCTAATACTTGTTTTTCCCTGGGTGTGAATTTTAGGCAAAGCACCCGGCTCTCCTATTTAACATTTGAGTACATAAATGCAAATGAATTTAAGGGGAAAATCTTACAATTACATTTACTGAAATAGAACCAGACGTATTGGCAGTTGCCTGTCATCCAAATACCAAGACTGAACGAAGAGGATCAGGAGTTTGAAGCCAGCCTGGGTTACAATGAATTCAAACCCAAGTAAACTACGCAGCAAAATCTTCTCAAAAAAACTCCCAAATTGAACACAAACTGTTGAAACTTAACATTCCTAAAAAATGCAAGTGAAATAATGTCAGCATAAATGCAACCCAGCACTTTTCAGTGACAAAGTCGTTGGCTCTGAAAAGAGCCTTTGGGTTGAACTGAAATTTGGGTCGACAATTTGTCCAGGCTTCACTTGCCCTTGGCCTTGTGATGGCTCTCGGTCTTCTTGGGCAGCAGCACGGCCTGGATGTTGGGCAGCACGCCGCCCTGAGCGATCGTCACCTTGCCCAGCAGCTTGTTGAGCTCCTCGTCGTTGCGGATGGCCAGCTGCAGGTGGCGCGGGATGATGCGCGTCTTCTTGTTGTCGCGCGCCGCGTTGCCCGCCAGCTCCAGAATCTCGGCCGTCAGGTACTCCAGCACGGCCGCCAGGTAGACAGGGGCGCCGGCGCCCACGCGCTCGGCATAGTTGCCCTTGCGGAGCAGGCGGTGCACGCGACCCACCGGGAACTGCAGCCCGGCGCGGGAAGACCGCGTCTTGGCCTTGGCACGAGCCTTGCCACCCTGCTTGCCACGTCCAGACATTGTAACGAGCTACACAGTAAACCTACTGGTCAGTACACTCGCCAGTACAGAAAGCGTCCTTTATAGCGTCTTTTGGGCGCGAAAAAGAAGCCGTGCGATTGGCCACTTTTCATTTTCGTTTACACCAATGGGACGTGGCTGTAAGCACGGCATAATTTCCCCGCTAGGCGGGACTGCAGACTAACGTCACAAGAGAGAACTCGCCAATCGCCAGAGACCGTCTGTGAGCCTCATTTGCATAACGTGGGCTACATAAAGTCGCGCCCGGCCGGCTTCCATTCAGTCTGTTCGGTTCTCAACCCTGTTTGCAGGATGCCAGAGCCCGCAAAATCTGCGCCAGCCCCGAAGAAGGGGTCGAAGAAGGCGGTGACCAAGGCGCAGAAGAAGGACGGCAAGAAGCGCAAGCGCAGCCGCAAGGAGAGCTACTCTGTGTACGTGTACAAGGTGCTGAAGCAAGTGCACCCGGACACGGGCATCTCGTCCAAGGCCATGGGCATCATGAACTCATTCGTGAACGACATCTTCGAGCGCATCGCGGGCGAGGCTTCGCGCCTGGCGCACTACAACAAGCGCTCGACCATCACGTCTCGGGAGATCCAGACGGCCGTGCGTCTGCTGCTGCCCGGGGAGCTGGCCAAGCACGCGGTGTCGGAGGGCACCAAGGCCGTCACCAAGTACACGAGCTCCAAGTGAGCCTGCCCTTGGCCGCTGCTCTGCTGGTACCACACCCCTCAAAGGCTCTTTTCAGAGCCACTCATATTTTCGAAAGAGAACTGTCACTGAGTTTTTTTTGTAGGAGATGTTTACTCTGAAGAGCTATTTACTGGTTTTGCCTTTGGAATTAATAGGGCACAAAACTACCTGCTAAAACTTAAAAGTCTTTGGGTAGAAACCGAGCGAAGTAAATTAAACTTTAATTCGTTGGAAATTTTACATTTTTAAGTCCTTGACTACTATGGCCATCCTGACTTTTAAAGTATCTCGTCGTCCTGTGGATCCCACAGGCATTGCACACGTGAGCATTCTTGGCCAATCCGGCGAACGCGGGCTGTTTAAAAGTTGGCTGTTGGTTGCTCTTTTGGGTTGTGTTTTGGAGAATCTGGCGCCGTGTGCGTTTGTGCAGTCACATTGCTCCTTCATCCATTTAGTTATTCCCTAGTGAGTGTGCTCTGCGCACACAGGATCGGTTACTTCCTGCCTTTTCTGTGTGTCCTGTATCATACTTGCTCTGCGTCATTTTCAAAAAGAATAATAGAGCAAGAGTCATTTCCCAGAGTCACCTCACCTTCCCTCAGAATCAAGCAGCTTCGCCATTTTAATTCCTAAGAAATGGCATCTGTAAAAGCATGTTGGTGAGGTTGCTTTGTTTATTTTTGTTTTTCTGGAAGGTTTTTGGGTATCTCTTTATGCATTTAGAGTTCTTTCCTGATCCCAAAGCTGACTCCTAGGTGTGCACACGAGCGAACCTGGCACATATGCACCCGGAGATGCACAAGGCGGTGTGCAGTACCAGAAACAGTGCAGGCCGAGGCTGGACCGTCACTGCATGCACCCTGGGCTCCTGTAGTGGCTGCGTTTCCGCTTCCAGAACCTGAGTCAGTAGCATCGTGCATGCCAGAATTTTGTAAAACTGAGCACAGGGCCACGGATTATCTTAGTGGTACAAGCGCCTGCTTGGCAAGCACAAGGTAGTGAGTTCGATCCCCCCCCACACACACACACACACAAAACCCACAACTGAATTATGTAGTGTGTAAGTACTTAAAAGTAGCAAGTGTATGATCATAAAAATGACTTAATAAGGACGTTTTAATATATATTTAAAATGTGAAGCACACATGTGTGTTAATAAAGGCAACAAAAGGGAATTGGGGAAAGCCCAGAGAAAATTAGAAATTAGAATGCCCTGGGGTCAGATATTTGGCCTTTGATGTTTGATGAAATCTGCTGTATGCTTTCAGTGTGCACTACACATATTCTTTTAATATGTCAAAAATTGTATTGAAACTATACAGTAGGAAAGCCCCTTTGTATGAAAACAAACTCTAAGCATGATGTGCATAAAGAAACAGGTACAAAAGAGAACTTCAAAAGTAATAGTGTTTCAGTGAGGTGTTTCTTTTTTTAGTTTTGTGTGTGTGTGTTTTTGTTTTGTTTTTTGTCTTTTTGAGACAGGGTCTCACTATGCAGTTCAGTCACTTTGTAATCCAAGCTAGTCTCCAGCTCGAAACAATTCTTCTGCCTCAGCCTCCTGAGTGCTGGGATTACAGGCTTGTGCAACCACACCTGGCCAGGTGAGGTAAATGTCTTTGAGGGAGAAGCAAGAGAAAAAGGCAGGCCTTTACATAGGACCACATGGCCTGGCATGCTGTCTGGAAAATGTCATCCCAAGGCAAGAGGGTCCTAAGATTGAGCTCAGCCTGGGCAATTTAACAATTTAAGGAAATCAAGTCTCAAAATTTAACACTGCTGGAATGTAACTCAGTGCAAAAGTCCAGACCTTTAATTCTCAGGTCATGGAGAGTGAGGGAATATTTGAGCCTATGGATTTAGAAAGCACAAGGTTTTCACAAAATTAATCAGCAGCCAAATCTCCAGTGTCCTAGACCTCAGTCCAAGAGTCAGTTTCCCTGAAAAATAATCCTGATCCCAGGAAATACATGGCAGACCCCAATGGCGCTTCTTCAGCTGCTTCCTTCACATTTTTTGCTGTATGTAATCTGCATTAGCACAAAGTTGACAGAATTCACGTCCCGTGAAGTGCAGTTAATCAAATGCTCTTCCTCCTGGTTCTTTTCCAGTCTAAACCCTAACTCACCCTCTAGGGCCCTAGGTCTGTTATCTCTGGAGCCCTCCCTGGTTCCCAGCCCTGGCTGAGCTCGATCCTTCTGCCCTTCTTCCAGCCTGCTGCAGGCTCCAGGTCTACTTAGCTCTTCAGGAGCGCTTGTGACTGCCCTTTGGCAGTCGTCTGCGTACATGTGTGTGTAGCTCGTGTGTTGTGCAGTCCCCTGATGTATGTGTGTAACCTCCCTCAATTCTGGTAGAACTCCATACTTTTGTATTTGTTTGTGTTCTCCCATATTCCTGCATTTGAGGAGAGCAAACTCACCCTGCACATACACATTAATGTTACATTTTAGATGATGATTGTTCAGGACATAGGTAGCATTTTTAATCACCACTGAGACATAGTTGTGGCAGATTCTATTATTGGTTTATTTTCCAGAGTTGAGGGGACCAGCAGACGAAACCCAGAACAAAAAGAGGACTTATAGGGATTAAATTATGTAAGCATAATTATGTAAATTATGTGCACATTACTAGCATACATCAAGGATATAAATATGGCTTTGTCTGTGAGTGATTTTGGTATCAGAATTGCTTGTGTGACTAGGAATTATCAGCAGGGACAATGTCTGGAAGAATATAGGGACATGCGTGGCTAAAGTCTCTGTGCAGATATGAAAGAAGCAGGCAGAAGTTATTACAGCCACTCTGTAAAGGGTTTATACATCATCTCATTGCTTCTCATTATTTAGAAAGTTAACATTTTGAAACAGAGAGAGAGAAATAGAAATAGGAGCTCAAAGGTAGATTTTATGAGTTTTTTGCATCTTGGTCAAGCAACCATCTAACCTTCCATTGCTAAAATAATCTTGATGACTTTATACCATTGCTGATCAATCAGTCTTGGAGATTTATTGGAGCTAATTTAAACTAGGATATCACCTTAGAGTTTTCCACTGTGCGTTAGTCTCTTTTCTGTCATTCAGAGAAAAAATACCTGATCCTTACCCACTAAAGCAGAAGTGTGTTTGGGCCCATGTTTCCTTGAGGGCTGGGTTTGGGGTTGGCCGGGTCCAGGGAAGGAAGAGGCCCTTGGAGGAGAGTGCTCACACCTGGCAGCCAGGCAACCTGGGCAGAGATGCAGCTTTCCAGGTCTGTGGGTCCTCCTAGCAGCACTCAGCTGCTGAGCTCATCAGTGGGTGAATCCAGGAGTACGGTAGCACCCCATCATCCAATCACATTCTCAGCACTTGACACTTTGTTGGGGGTGGGGGCCAGATATTTTAGATTTAGACCATCACACTTCGACGTATGCCTGATAGTTTCCAGAATTCACATAATTTTCCTCAAATATTTTGTATCAATATTTTTTCCCTAAAGAATAAGTTGTAGAACAGAAAGGAACACACTGGAACACAGACATAGGAGAGGAACCCTGATCAGGGACATTCCTCAGTCCCACACCATTGCCAGCAGAAGTGGCCCTCCTGCTCCCCAGGGCCTTTTCTTCCTCTATTGCAACTGAGTGGGCCATCAGGGGTGTGGGGACCGAGCTGAGATCTGAGGTTTCTAGGACGTACTTTGCCACCCTTCGGTTATGATGTTGTCCTGGGCATGGTGAATTAATGTGGTCACAGCTTTGCTGAGTTTCATCTTAGATTCCAAGCCATCTCAAATGTGAGTTTTCTGCAGACAACCAGTTTTTCCACTTCCTAATACTTCAAAACTTGTCTTTCAGAGGTTGTCCTTTTGGATTCTGTCATCAAATCATGAAAGTGAGTCCTCCTGGGAGTCTGAAAGAGGTAGAGAAGTGTGGCAGCAAAACAGAAAACGAATCACAATGAAACTCAACGGTGTTTTTCCAGACCTGAATAATGATTAACAAACTTCTATCACTGTGCATGGTATTGCACGCCTGTAATTTTAGCACTTGGGAAGCTGAGGCAGGAGGATCGCTGTGAGCTCAAAGCCAACTTCAACTACACAGACCCTGTCTTAGAAACAAAAGAAAGTTGGAGCATCAACAACGCATCCCCTGGTGCCAGCTGTCACTTTGCTCTTTCTCTCTAAGCTGGTGTGCTCCGTGTATAAATATCCCCGCCTCTTCATTTGTGTAGAAGTTTGGCTATGGGACTGGGGTAAGTGTTTACCTAAGGAAAGATCCCCACAACGTTTGTCTTATTTCCCTTGGGCTGTGAAAAGATTAATCCTCTAAGTGCTGATCATTACTGAAGTATGCGTCAGAAGAGACTGACTGAGGAAGCAAGCTCAGGTCTTGAAAAGCCCCCTTCATCCAAGCATCATAAATTACCGTGCCTTTGCCCCTTTGCCAAAGCCAGTGACAGCCGCATGAGCCTTGCTGTGGAGGTTGGAGGGGAAAATCTCTAACTGACAACAGAAGAGTGACATAAACACAGCCAAGGTCCCTTTGAGGCAGCTATAACTTCAGAAATTGCTTTAAACATGGCAAGAGGGTTAAAGTATCTGCACCAAGAAAAGAAACTGCTTCACAGAAGCATAAAATCTTCAAAGGTGTAATTAAAGTGCTTTAGAAACAATTAAAATGTGTGACATAGCTTCTCCCTCACTGGATGAAAACGGGAGCATTGCTGAGCCCCAGGCCGGTTACCCTGGCCCTGAGCCCTGGAAACCCAGGGAAGCTCTGGAGGAAACGACATCATCCTTACTGACGAGGTAGATGCATTTGCCTTCAGTCACTCTGTGGGAAATGGTGGCTTTACCCACTGCGCAGGTTAATCTTCATCTTACAGATGATGGTGGTGGCAGAGATTCAGCTTTTGATGAAAGTGACTTTGACGACGCCAAGCGTGCAGCTTTGGGCACCCTGCTTACTAATACAGGCCAACTGGACGAATTCTACCAGAAAGCAACTGAACTCTTCTCCGTACACTGGCGAAATCCTGGAGCCCCCCTTAGCTCACACATTGTTTAAAGCTTTGGAACCAGGTGACTGGTGATCACACTCTTGGTGACCTCGGTGTGAAGTACATAGCTGTTCTGTTTTCTTGGCTGTTTCTATGGTTACTATTATGATCTGCAGTTAGTACCCTCCAGAAGTGGCCTATTTTAGGTCCATAATGCCTTGCTAATTTTGAATAGCTTT